AGCAGTGATTTTCCTCAGAGGCACCGCCTCTGGGAAGCGAGTAGCAGTACACATGATTGTTAATAGATACTGATATCCACTTTTCGATCGTGGAAGAGGACCAACACAGTCAATGATTATTTTCTCAAAAGGCTCACCCACGGCAGGTATTGGGTACAACGGTGCAGGTGGAATTATCTGATTTGGTTTACCAGTAACCTGGCAGACATGGCACGTCTTACAATACTGCCGCACATCACGCTTCAGCCCCGGCCAGAAAAAGTGAGGAAGAACGCGGTTGAATGTTTTAGTCACACCTAAATGACCAGAAACACCATCATGCGCGATACTCAGGATTGCACGTCTATTTTCAGTCGGCATAACGATTTGCTCAATATCACCCCATTCGTTACTTTTGTGAGGCGTCCACCTCCGCATAAGTAATCCGTCTCGAAAAAAAAAAAACTGAACTTTCGCTGGCACGGTCTGAAACAGATTGAATTGCATTATAACATGAAACAAGAGTAGGGTCTTTTAGTTGAGTACTAATAAGTTTCTCTAAAGACAACGATGTATCTGGTTCTATTGTTTTTCCACTGTTCCTCACATGTACAGGACTACTGCGGTACGGAGTGGAAGTGGGTTCCAGGAGCCTCTCACACTCCGCAGGGTGAGCAACGAAACTGTCACTTAGGTCGACGTCAAGAGGAGGTACTGCATCCCTCATCCTTCGAGTCTGCGACCTAGTGACAACACTGGCGGGAAAAACCTCTGGGAATTTTTGTGCGCACTCATCGGGACACTCTTGACTGAGCGGCACAGACACAACCTCGGGGGGAACATCACCACGGCACCACACATTTCCACCGGCTAGGTCGTTGCCAATGAGAAACGTGACACCGGGGACTGGCAAAAAGTCTTGAACGCCAACAACCACGTCACCACACACCAAATCTGAATCAAGATGCACGTAATACAAGGGAACATCGAGAAAACCCATCTCGATTCCTCGAACCAGGACACTACTACCTGTTGCAGTCTTCTCAGACAACGGCAGCAAACCACGGAGGAGGAAAGACTGCGCAGCGCCCGTATCCCGCAAGATGCGCACAGCGACAGCTTCCCCGCCAGACACAGATACGGTCCCACTCGTCAGAAAGGGCTCGTACATGGACTGGGTTTTCTCTGATTTTAACTCAGCATGGAGGACAGGTGAAACCTTCGGAGAAGAGTTAACGAGACCCATTGGCTTCGTGGATTGTTTTTTTTTTTATATTACACAGTCTGCGATGATATGCCCAGGTTTTTTACAATAAAAACAGTGTCTATCCTCTTGTTTTATTGCACTTTTTTTCGTGTCTATATCAGAGGTCACAGAGGGATTAACTTTTAAGCGAAAACGTTCTCTGCCAACGTTATGCGTCAAAACGTCTTCGTTTTGACATAAGTCTTCGTTCTTCATAAGTTGTAGCCAAATTTAACAATTGCTCCTTTGAAAATTTCAAAAATAATTCAATAGAGGGATCTTTAACGAATGATTCCTCTGTTGCCATTCTACTGCGCAAAGACGCTTTAAAACGCGCACAAAAGAAAAAAGAAAAAAGAAAACCTCGCAGAAAACCTTTAACTGCGACAAAGCTACAAAGTAGCGAATATCTAAGTGGTCAAACAAAAGCAAAATATAGGCTACAAACGACCACGAATTTTTAATGTCCACCCACGAATTTGACAAAAATGCTAGCACAATCAAAGTACCAGCGCTCACTCAAATAGGCGATATGCCACAATATATAACACAAGCTATACAACTAAACTAAAGAGTATTCTGATAGGCAAAAATGCTGTCCAGCTTCTCTAACTAACTATGTACAAAACGCAAAAAAAAAAATCCTAAATATCTACGCAATCTTCAGTGGTGTACTCAGCTCGAGGCTTCCCACCGAGCCCCCTCCTGAGATATCCACCAAAAATAAAATAAACAGTCGACTAAACAAATGAACAGACAATCATAATTGCGCACCAGAATACTCACCAAAATGTTGTAGCCTTTCAAAAGTTCCGCAATTCACACTAAACACTAAAGTCCGACTTAATCAAACAATAAATCCCGGACGAGCCCCCAATATGTTACGGGCGGACGGACACCACCCTTAACATAAAGGAGAGACACACACAGGCCAGCTCGTGTCAAAAATAGGGGTATGTTTATTAAGTAGGTCGGTTATCAAATACCGGGTAAGTTCACAATTAAAGACAGAGTTACAAAGGCGGAACGCTTTTGATTCCCGGGGTGGACTGCAAAAGCTCTAACGACAGACAGCACGGCAGTGCATCGACTCCGTTCTCAGGCTCTGTGTGCGCCCTCACGTGTGGTTCCGGACAGCTTTTGTAGCTCAAGTATACGGCTGCGCTCAGGTGTGGCTCATCTGTAATTAAGAGCAAGGGAAACTCAAACACTCAAACACACATGTAGAAACACACAGCGGAGCTGGGGGACGTAACATTCTACATCAGGTTGGGTTATCATTAGATATGTCACACAGATTTGCTGACTCTTTTGAACCCCTCTGACTCCCACCTTTACCTGACTTTCTTTCTTTCTTTCTTTCTTTCTTTCTTTCTTTCTTTCTTTCTTTCTTTCTTTCTTTCTTTCTTTCTTTCTTTCTTTCTTTCTTTCTTTCTTTCTTTCTTTCTGTCTATTTCTCTCTCACACACTGCTCATTTTCCACTGGGAGTCTGTTTCTCTCGTGAAGAGCGATGATGTTCCTCAGAGAGCAGCTCGATATATTAACTGAAGATTTGGGAAGATGTGTGTGTGTGTGTGTGTGTGTGTGTGTGTGTGTGTGTGTGTGTGTGTGTGTGTGTGTGTGTGTGTGTGTGTGTGTGTGTGTGTGTGTGTGTGTGTGTGTGTGTGTGTGTGTGTGTGCGTGTGTGTGTGAGAGTGGTGTGCGTCTGTGTGCGTGTGTGTGTGTGCGTGTGGGTGTGTGAATTGAGTAGATGAGTAGAATTGAGTAGATTTCACTTTTCACAGGCCACTTTTAGTAGATCTAGTATAGATGGGCAAAATGAATGTTCTCCAGATATCTTTCCAAGGACATAATTAGGAAATAAAAGATCAATTTTAAACAAATGATCAACCCAACACATCCAATATTAACAGATGAATCTAAGAGTGAAAGATGCCTGATAAAGACAATGTCAAACTGACCGTCTAAATGAGGACATGACCTGTTGTGTGAAAAACCATCTTCTATTAAGACCATCCCATAATGCTGAACGCAGAACCCTCGCTGATCTCGATGGTTAAATGTCAGACGACAGTCAGAATGTGCTGTTATTGGGGAATCTCCCATCAGTGTGTGTTAAAGAATGAGAAGCAAAGCACAGAGCAGTTCGACATGTGAAGGAAGAGATGTGAAAATGCCCTCGCGGAAATGCCAAGCCATCACTCAACATTGGGAAGCCAAAACCGGATTGAAAGTCCTGTTCTTCGTTGTCAGAGGGACGCCATGGACGTGTCCTTGGTAATGTCGAGTTACAGACGCACTGTCAGAGCTTTACCTGCAAAGACAAAGACCAAAATTACCATTCGAATTCTTCAAACGTTCAGGTGAGGCACATATCAGGATGATCCCTGTGATCGAGAGATCATAGCAGGGGAGCGTTGTGTGTTACCTCTGATTTTCACTTTTCCTCCATCTTTCCCAATCCTTTAAATAAAGAACAGAACTGAAGTTTTGTTAACAAAGTTTGGTTCATCACGTCATTCCAACCAGCAGTCAACATCAACATCAACATGTCTACCCAATCAGTCTAGTAACTGTCATTTCTGTCATGACTGACCAATGTTCCTCGACAGTTTTCAGCATCACTCCACCACCCCGTCTCCTCACACTCGCCTGGTTACTTTCCTAACCAGAAATACTCTGGGCTCGGGCCGAAAACAGAGCTCAGAGCCTCCCCTCGGACAGCACGCCAAACACACACACTACTTTACTCTCTCTGATCTCCTGAAAGGATATTCTCACAGTCGAAATCATAGAGAAAACGTGAGCTAACAGCTAGTGATATCTACAGCTCCTACAGACAGACAGAGATGTTTTATTCATCACATCATCATCGTCACTTTGACTGGCACCTTTGATTCCAACCCTTGAACTCGGAGTCATCGGCTTTGATGTCGAATATGTTTGACATCCTTTTCTGTTGATGTGCTCTCTCTTCTTGGGGTTGATGTCATGTTTTGTCCATGTATCTTATAAATCACAAATTCACACACACACACACACACACACACACACTCAAATAAAAGTAGTGTGTTTTGTTGGTGATGAACATTTGGTTCTCGGTTCATTACCACAAATGTCCCCATGTCATCTGGATCTGCTCAGTCAGTCATTTACAGATCAAATTACATTTTAGATTTGCCAGAGAAATGCTGTCCCTCCATTTTTAGATGCTCCAGAGATTCGGAGCGGCTGCAGTGTGTTTATTACTGCGGGATGAATCCGGTCGGAGAACACAACTCAGATCTGCTCAGTATGAAGCATTGGTGTGAGATCCGTACACGCTGCACTTCAGACAGAAACAGTTGAATTTGAGTTTTGAGCAAAATACCATTCAGTGAGGGCAAAGCATTAATGATTCACAAATGCACAGTTAATACAAAGTAATACAAATTTATAAGAAAAATATCCCAGAAATTAAAATACTCAATTCCCAATTCAGGGGCTCTTTATGCATGACAAAACCTTTCAACAAAAAGAAATCAGTTAATTAAAAAAAGATATTCAGTTCGTTTAAATTCAGTTCATGTCTTTTCAACTAATTTGGGGGGCAAACCACCAGTTTCAGAATTAATTGAACATGCAGTTCACATTAACAGTTCTAGACTGAGCTCAATCCAGCATATTAGCTTATACAGCAGAGTCCTTATGCACTTAGGCCTTTAAAAATCCTTAAGTCCATTCAAACCAGCACCTGATATTGTTCGTTGCTCAGACTCGTTCTCCCAGTTTAAAACTAGACTAAAGACGCATCTATTTAGCCAGGCATTCATATAATTTTTTTATCTTACAGTTACTGTAAATTCGGCCTCTACTTCATAAACGCCAGAGGAGAACTGGCCCCGACTGAGCCTGGGTTCTCCCAAGGTTTTTTTTTCTCCATTGGGTCATCTGATGGAGTTTTAGGACACCATCGGGTCACTTGAAGGAGGTTTTTGGTTCCTTGCCACTGTTGCCTTTGGCTTGCTCAGTTGGGGATATTCAAATTAAATGACCCATCATACCACTGATCAGCTCTACCAAACTTGGATGTCGTTGTTCAGTAATAAACAAACACTGTTAAGTTGTTTTGATTGATACTGTGAAGCAGCTTTGATACAATCTGTATTGTGAAAAGCGCTATATAAATATATTTGACTTGACTTGACTTGACTTGTGTGATTATGATTCAGGAGCATTACAGGTCAGAGGTCAGATTGGTTTGGAACAATCAGAATGTTATCCAGTTCCATCTGGTTGAAGATCGGAGTCACGCCGGTATGGAGACAAATTTGTTGAAGATCAGTGCAGATGGCTGTCGTGTCGATGAAGCCTTCACAGGGCTGATGATGCTGGCACTTCAGGGATGCGTCATGGATGGGTCCAGGTGCAGGTCCACCATCTGATCTGGATACGGCCGGGATCCGGCTGACTTCAGTAAACAGGGAAGGGACTGTTTGACACTTCATGACTGTGATGTCATCTTGTCTAGGCGCAGGTCCTGCATCAGATCTGGATACGGCCTGGATCCAGCGGACTGCAGTAAATCTCGGATAAACAGAGAGACTAATATTAGAGTAGACGCCATCCTTCTTATGATGTAACAAGTACATCAGGATTTGTGGGGAGTTTTCCCAGTTCCGGCTGATCTAAACAGCCTAAAACACATTATAGAAGTCTAAAATGTGTTATTTGTATGCTAGGCCAAATTACAGAGCAAATTACAGTGTCTGACACCGTACTTGCAAGTTCACACACCTCTTTAACGTTAATTTTAGTGATCTCTGATTGGCGAAGTCGAACATCATTAGTGCCGACGTGAATAATAATCTTAGAGAATTTACGATTAGCATTAGCCAGCACTTTTAAATTTGTTTTGATGTCAGGCAGCTCCCGGCAAACATGTGACTATGGTGGCTGGTGTCTCTATTTTCACGTTCCGTGTGATCGAATCACCAATAACTAGGGCACATTCAGCAAGATTCACAGTGGGTGTTTCACTGAGTGGGGAGAATCTATCTGGAATGATAATCGGTAATCGTCATCAAACACGTATGACGGTTCCTGCTGTCAGTCACACACGTATGACGGTTCCTGCTCAGGTCAGTCGCACACGTATGACGGTTCCTGCTCAGGTCAGTCACACACGTATGACGGTTCCTGCTGTCAGTCACACAGGTATGACGGTTCCTGCTCAGGTCAGTCACACACGTATGACGGTTCCTGCTCAGGTCAGTCGCACACGTATGACGGTTCCTGCTGTCAGTCACACACGTATGACGGTTCCTGCTCAGGTCAGTCGCACACGTATGACGGTTCCTGCTCAGGTCAGTCACACACGTATGACGGTTCCTGCAGTCAGTCACACACGTATGACGGTTCCTGCTGTCAGTCGCACACGTATGACGGTTCCTGCTGTCAGTCACACACTTATGACGGTTTCTGCTGTCAGTCACACACGTATGACGGTTCCTGCTGTCAGTCACACACGTATGACGGTTCCTGCTGTCAGTCACACACGTATGACGGTTCCTGCTCAGGTCAGTCGCACACGTATGACGGTTTCTGCTGTCAGTCGCACACGTATGACGGTTCCTGCTGTCAGTCACACACGTATGACGGTTCCTGCTCAGGTTAGTCGCACACGTATGACTGTTTCTGCTGTCAGTCGCACACGTATGACGGTTCCTGCTGTCAGTCACACACGTATGACGGTTCCTGCTCAGGTCAGTCGCACACGTATGACGGTTCCTGCTGTCAGTCGCACACGTATGACGGTTCCTGCTCAGGTCAGTCGCACACGTATGACGGGTCCTGCTCAGGTCAGTCGCACACGTATGCCGGTTCCTGCTGTCAGTCGCACACGTATGACGGTTCCTGCTTAGGTCAGTCGCACACGAATGACGGTTCCTGCTGTCAGTCACACACGTATGACGGTTTCTGCTGTCAGTCACACACGTATGACGGTTCCTGCTGTCAGTCACACACGTATGACAGTTCCTGCTGTCAGTCACACACGTATGACGGTTCCTGCTGTCAGTCACACACGTATGACGGTTCCTGCTGTCAGTCACACATGTATGACGGTTCCTGCTCAGGTCAGTCACACACGTATGACGGTTTCTGCTGTCAGTCGCACACGTATGACGGTTCCTGCTCAGGTCAGTCGCACACGAATGACGGTTCCTGCTGTCAGTCACACACGTATGACGGTTCCTGCTGTCAGTCACACACGTATGACGGTTCCTGCTGTCAGTCACACACGTATGACGGTTCCTGCTGTCACTCACACACGTATGACGGTTCCTGCTCAGGTCAGTCGCACACGTATGACGGTTCCTGCTCAGGTCAGTCACACACGTATGACGGTTCCTGCTCAGGTCAGTCGCACACGTATGACGGTTCCTGCTGTCAGTCACACACGTATGACGGTTCCTGCTCAGGTCAGTCACACACGTATGACGGTTCCTGCTCAGGTCAGTCGCACACGTATGACGGTTCCTGCTGTCAGTCACACACGTATGACGGTTCCTGCTCAGGTCAGTCGCACACGAATGACGGTTCCTGCTGTCAGTCACACACGTATGACGGTTCCTGCTGTCAGTCACACACGTATGACGGTTCCTGCTGTCAGTCACACACGTATGACGGTTCCTGCTGTCAGTCACACACGTATGACGGTTCCTGCTGTCAGTCGCATACGTATGACGGTTCCTGCTGTCAGTCACACACGTATGACGGTTCCTGCTGTCAGTCACACACGTATGACGGTTTCTGCTGTCAGTCACACACGTATGACGGTTCCTGCTGTCAGTCACACACGTATGACGGTTCCTGCTGTCAGTCACACACGTATGACGGTTCCTGCAGTCAGTCTCACACTTATGACGGTTCCTGCTGTCAGTCGCACACGTATGACGGTTCCTGCTGTCAGTCACACACGTATGACGGTTTCTGCTGTCAGTCACACACGTATGACGGTTCCTGCTGTCAGTCACACACGTATGACGGTTCCTGCTGTCAGTCACACACGTATGACGGTTCCTGCTCAGGTCAGTCGCACACGTATGACTGTTTCTGCTGTCAGTCGCACACGTAGGACGGTTCCTGCTGTCAGTCACACACGTATGACGGTTCCTGCTCAGGTCAGTCGCACACGTATGACGGTTCCTGCTGTCAGTCGCACACGTATGACGGTTCCTGCTCAGGTCACTCGCACACGTATGACGGGTCCTGCTCAGGTCAGTCGCACACGTATGACGGTTCCTGCTGTCAGTCGCACACGTATGACGGTTCCTGCTCAGGTCAGTCGCACACGAATGACGGTTCCTGCTGTCAGTCACACATGTATGACGGTTCCTGCTTAGGTCAGTCACACACGTATGACGGTTCCTGCTGTCAGTCGCACACGTATGACGGTTCCTGCTGTCAGTCGCACACGTATGACGGTTCCTGCTCAGGTCAGTCGCACACGTATGACGGTTCCTGCTCAGGTCAGTCACACACGTATGACGGTTCCTGCTGTCAGTCACACACGTATGACGGTTCCTGCTCAGGTCAGTCGCACACGTATGACGGTTCCTGCTGTCAGTCGCACACGTATGACGGTTCCTGCTCAGGTCACTCGCACACGTATGACGGGTCCTGCTCAGGTCAGTCGCACACGTATGACGGTTCCTGCTGTCAGTCGCACACGTATGACGGTTCCTGCTCAGGTCAGTCGCACACGAATGACGGTTCCTGCTGTCAGTCACACACGTATGACGGTTCCTGCTTAGGTCAGTCACACACGTATGACGGTTCCTGCTGTCAGTCGCACACGTATGACGGTTCCTGCTGTCAGTCGCACACGTATGACGGTTCCTGCTCAGGTCAGTCGCACACGTATGACGGTTCCTGCTCAGGTCAGTCACACACGTATGACGGTTCCTGCTGTCAGTCACACACGTATGACGGTTCCTGCTGTCAGTCACAGACGTATGACGGTTCCTGCTGTCAGTCACACACGTATGACGGTTCCTGCTGTCAGTCACACACGTATGACGGTTCCTGCTCAGGTCAGTCACACACGTATGACGGTTCCTGCTGTCAGTCGCACACGTATGATGGTTCCTGCTGTCAGTCAAACACGTATGACGGTTCCTGCTGTCAGTCACACACGTATGACGGTTCCTGCTGTCAGTCACACACGTATGACGGTTCCTGCTGTCAGTCACACACGTATGACGGTTTCTGCTGTCAGTCGCACACGTATGATGGTTCCTGCTGTCAGTCACACACGTATGACGGTTCCTGCTGTCAGTCACACACGTATGATGGTTCCTGCTGTCAGTCACACACGTATGACGGTTCCTGCTGTCAGTCACACACGTATGACGGTTCCTGCTGTCAGTCACACACGTATGACGGTTCCTGCTCAGGTCAGTCACACACGTATGACGGTTCCTGCTCAGGTCAGTCACACACGTATGACGGTTCCTGCTGTCAGTCACACATGTATGACGGTTCCTGCTGTCAGTCGCACACGTATGACGGTTCCTGCTGTCAGTCGCACACGTATGACGGTTCCTGCTGTCAGTCGCACACGTATGACGGTTCCTGCTCAGGTCAGTCACACACATATGACGGTTCCTGCTCAGGTCAGTCACACACGTATGACGGTTTCTGCTGTCAGTCACACACGTATGATGGTTCCTGCTGTCAGTCGCACACGTATGACGGTTCCTGCTCAGGTCAGTCACACACGTATGACGGTTTCTGCTGTCAGTCGCACACGTATGACGGTTCCTGCTCAGGTCAGTCACACACATATGACGGTTCCTGCTCAGGTCAGTCACACACGTATGACGGTTCCTGCTGTCAGTCACACACGTATGACGGTTCCTGCT